GGGAGATGAACTACGAAAACTAGGCAAACGCCAGCAAGAAACGGCTGAGAAACTGGTCAAATTGGACAAGGATGTCAAAGAGGAAGTCAAGATTGATTTAGAGGAACTCCGCAACACTGTAATAGGACTATCCATCGAGGTCAACGACCTATACCCAAGGCGAGCACATCAACAAGAAGTTGCTTTGGACTCTGAACTACAAGATCTCCTTCAAAACATCAAGACCCCTGCTGCTGCCAAAAAGGGGGAAAAATCAACACAAGCAGGGGGGAAACATCAAAATCCAAAAGATCACTAGCAACACAGAAAGGAGCAGAAATAAAAAGGAAGAATCAACTCTACAAAGAAGAATCTGAAATCAGAAGAAGAAAAGCAGAAGAGGCCAAAGCCAAGGAAGAAGCCAAGAAGAAACAAGAAGAAGACAAGCAAGAGTAGGCTAGATCTTAAAGTCCGAAACTGACTAGAAACTATTGTACTCTAGAAATTAGAACAATGTACAAAACTTCAAAGAAAATCAATAAAAATGTTTGTTACTTGTGTTGTATAGTTTTGGCATCATCAAAAATGGGGAAATTATTAATACCCAATTTTGATAAGATTTTGATGATGCCACTATACTTAGCACGTGTACATTGTATCTCATTTTAATTCTAGTATTAACGTGACAAATTAAATGTACAATTTTTGAGTCTAAGAAATATTACAGGAAAAGTGAAAATGCAATAAGGTAAATTTTATTTAACTTAATAGGATATTTGAATCCTACCGGCAAATACTATTTGACTCAAAGTTTATTCGTATGTCACACTTTAGATAAAAGAAGCTCGAAATATCAAATGGATGATTAGAGACAAAACATTGACCGGCATTTAATGCCAAATACGTACTGGGTCCGGAGCCATGTACATACACATGGGACTGCAGTTTGAAGTGAAGTTCCAGTTGCTAAATCATGCGAGACAAGGAGATGAGGCCGAATTAAAGCTCCAGCACAAGAAGACGAATGTACAATTTGTCCTTGCCAGAATTTCAATGTTAGAGATTAATCCATCCTAACCAACGGATGAGATTAATTCAAAGGAGATGCCTATAAATATAGGCTGAAACGAGAAAAAGGGGGTTAGGCCCGAGAGCTCATGAACGAAAACCCTAAACCTACGGTGGAGCCGCCGTCGCCGGCACAACCTCCGCCTGCGACTGGGAATGCATAGAATGGAAGCAAACGTTCTTTTGTTTCGGTTCTTCTTAATAAGGAGGATGCTACACTTTCTACGACTCAATCACGATTCAAAGGTATGTCGGCTATATCGTTTTCGGAAGATGCTATTCAAATTCTTGCGGACAAGCATAAACGATCGTTAGTTGGATATTTTTTCAAAGGGCGTCCACCTATGAATACTATACGCAGATCCTTTGAGATCATAGGTTTTAAAGGAGGCTTTCATATTGGGCTGTTGGAGAAAGAACACGTCCTAATCAGATTTGATTTAGAGGAAGATTACATCCGATGTTGGAATCGCCAGACATGGGATATTCATGGTAATATTATGAGGGTAACCAAATGGTCCCCGGAGTTCAAACCGAACGTGGAATCTCCTATTGTTCCAGTTTGGTTAACATTAGAAGGTTTGCCAATTCATCTACAAGATAAGCGGGCTATGTTTGAAATTGCCAAACTTATTGGGAAGCCCCTGAAGCTGGATATAGCTACAACTACTTTGGCTCGGCCATCCCAGGCCCGGGTTTGTGTTGAATTGGATCTTACTAAGGAAATGCCTAATAAGGTCTGGATTCAGACGGGCAAGACAGGTTTTTCACAGGCCATCACTTACGAATACAGGCCTCAATACTGTCTTGCTTGTTTTCACTTAGGACATGAAGCCAGTAAGTGTCCTAAGAGGGCTTTACTCATAGATAGAGTACCTTTTGATCCCCACTGGTTCATTAGAGAAAAGTCTAAGGACTGAGTAACTTTGAGTGGTGCTATACTCATCGTGAAAAACCTTCAATCTAGGCCTAAGTGTTGTAAAGGCTTGATTGGCACTAAGTGTATTGGGCTTAATACTTTAGTGAAATCCATCTGAAAGAGGTTGGGACTGGATGTAGGAGGATTACACCACCTCTGAACCAAGATATATCGTGTGTTGAATTCACTTCAGTCAAAAAAGCACACACCAAACACTTCTCACATAAAGATTGTAGTTTGCCGACATAATCCTAAGCAGTTGTCTTAATTGACCCAACTGCTTATCCTATTGCTTAATTACTCACTTTCTTTGAGACCAGATTCACACCTTTAACGTGCACCAACAACATCTAAAAGGATCACTCTATCAGTTCTCTGAAACTCACCTTCTAAGTACAGTAGGTGCCTCAGCAGTTCCCTCGAATCCACCCAACTGCTGAGCCCTCTGCTCATATATACTTGTTTCATGTCACTATCTCAAACATCACCAGATTGTCAATACCTCATCAAGAAGTTTGCTTAACCCAATAAGTTTTTGACCCGAGCAGGTGCCTCAGCAGTTCCCTCATATTCACCCAACTGCCGAGTCCACTACTTCAGCAAAAAGCTAGTCTCCCCTCATTTAAGCATACTTACCAAAAGGCCACACCATACTCATCAAACAACTATCTCTACCTCCATCATACACTCTGCATTTCTTGAGCAGTTGCCTCAGCAATTCCCTGCTCTTAGCCACCTGCAAAGCCAACTGCTAGCATTCTAAGCCAACTGCTAGCATTCTAAGCCAAACACTCTCCAAGTTAGAAAGTGGCTAAACACTCATTACACAAAGGGTAAAGACTTCCGTTCTGCATCTATAAAACTCTCAAAAGTTTATAGATTAACTCTTTTAGAAGGAAAACTTTCAAAAGTCGAAAAAGATTTAAAAGTCTATTCACCCCCCCCCCCCCTTTAGACTTTTACCCTATCCGGGACCATCAGAGCCTGTCATACATCTTGGAGATGCTTTCACCAGGGTGAAGCTTGAAATCATCAAACTTCTTGTTGGCAATGGTCAGCTTGTTGTCCTTCTCTTGCTCATCACCAGCTCCAATGAGCTCAAGAGTATCTCAGATTTCCATGGCAGTCTTGCACTTCTTTATTCTGTTGAATTATCTGTCATCTATGGATTTGTAGAGAATGTCTTTTGCAATGTTGTCCAGATTATACTTTCTCCTTTCTTTAGTGGTCCACTCAGATTTGGCTTTATTGATCATTTGAGGTCTGGTGTTGTCTATAGCATGCTCAGGGTTGACCTTCTGGAAGCTTGTGAATGGCCTACCAGTACTTCCCACATTTCATCATGAAGGGCACAGAGATGTGCCTTCATCCGGATTCTCCATTCATCAAACTTAAGATCTGAGATCATAAGATTCTTGGAAAGAGAGTGATCCATAATATGAGATTAAAATAGAGGCAAAAAGAAAACAAGTGGATCTTTGTTCAGAAAATAACCTAAGAGATTATTAGAACAAGGAGGCTCTGATACCACTTGTTGGTCCCGGTTATACTAGGTACAGTCTAGAGGGGGGGGGGGGGTGAATAGACTGTACTGGTTTTTAACTTTTCAAGCTAAGTACCAGATTTAACAGAATAGCCTGTTCTGTTGACAGAACAGACTGGCAGCGGATGGGGTTCTGGTAGGGGTTCGTTTCGATTAGCCTCAGAGAAGCAAAGGCAGTAGGCCTTCTGTTAACTCACAAGACACGTTCTACTGAACATAGAGACCAAGTCTTTGGAGTTAATCAGTTCTAACTAAGTGCGATAAATAAATGCAGTAAGTAAATGACACCAGGGATTTTTATAGTGGTTCAAGGAACAACTCGTTCCTCTAATCTACTGTTCCACTAAGCTTGTAAAAACGTCCGTTTACAATGCCTTAGTCCTAGCACTTAAGAAGTTCTCCACGTCTTCTTCAAGTCTAGATGTTTCCTGGGATGCACTTCCTTGCTTCCTTAAAGACTGGTTCTTTCACTGAGCTTCCTTGAAGTATCACCACTTCACTACTCCAGTTACTTGGACGTCCTTCTCGTTGGAGAAGAGTTCTTGTGAGAACAGGGGTTTCCAACTAGCTTCGTTACAAAGGATTTGTAGTTGAGGAGCTTGAGGTGTTGAAGAACGAATGGAACTTTGCTCTTGTTGAGAATGTGAAGATATGAGTAGATATTCTTCCCAACGTCTGCCTTCCCTTGTAGAGGATGATGAAATGTTAATCTCAATGAGGCTTTTTGATTTTGAATCCTTGAAGGTTTTGTTTGAGCAAGTGTTGAGCAAAGGATGTAGCAAAGTTATTTCTAAGTACTCCGGTTGTTCTTCGTAGAGTATCTTTTATACTTGGGTTGTCTTCCCGTTGGAGGAGGAGGACAATGCATTAAATGCTTGAACAGTTGACTTGACCAGTAGGACCCAGGAAAGTTGGCGGGTTACTATTTTGGGATAAAGTTATCCTGAAAAAACCTGGAATGTCGGCCAATCATGCGTTTTTACTCTTCAGGGTACGGGATGCATTAAATGTGCATTTAATGCGCGTATTGTAGCTTTTCGTTGAAGTCTTCTAGTCATGAAGGAATCTTCCATTGGTTTCACCGGTTGAAGTAGTTTCAAGAAAATTCTCCAAGTGTCAGGCCTTCTGGCGTCTTCAGCAGAGAGTCTACCAGAGAGGGTCTTGAGCACTTCTATTGGAATAAGCTATCAGAGGGTCCTTTAGGTCTTCTGTCAGATGCGAACTAACAGATAGTCAAGAAGGTTTCTATTGTAGTGATGTTCAACAGAGAACCAAAGGTCTTCTGTCTGAGTAAGAGTCAACAGAGAGCCAAAGATCTTCTGTCAGGACAATGCCTATCAGAGGGTCTTCTGTCAGGAGGTCTTCTGTCAGTCGACTAATCTAAGAAATTTTACAAGGAAAATTTCTAATACAATAAATCTAAAGAGGGGGTACTCTAAAGTCCTAATAAATATAGCATCATCAAAATATAATTACAATTATTCCTTATAGTTGTTGATGTTGTATTGAAACATGGGCGACACTCTTCTTCCTTCCATTGCCAGATAGTGCGCCGGCCTGTTCCTTTCCCTGAGAGTGTGCGCGAGGATGAGGTCGTTGGTGTGGCAGATGTCTATTATCCGCAAAATACCAGAGTTCAACAGTCCTGGTAACACCATTTTCTTTTGAACAGCTTTGACGATTATTTCGGAATCCATTTGTATTTCAAAATCTTTGTATCCTTTGGCCGTTGTTTCCTCAACTGATTTAATAATTACTCTTGTTTCTGCTTGTATAGCCAATGATGAGGATGTTGGAAAGGCGTAGGCATCCAGTATCTTCCATGTTCGGTCCCTTAATATTTCTCCTCCAGCGCTCTGTCCGTTCGTGAATAAGGTGTCACAGTTTAGACAAATGGTTGCTTCCGAGGTGAACCTCCATTTCACAGTCTGGTTGTCGAAGCTGATAAATTTTCTGTGTGAATTGCTTGATACCCAGTTGTGAATGTGAGTTTTAATATCCTTGATTGTGTCCTTGATGGAATGTGGCTTGTTGTCCCATATGATTTGAGTGTAATTTTTCCATGCGAACCATGCTATGATGCCGGGAGTCATATGTGTAATTATTCCTTTTGTTGAATGCTTTTCTCCACCAATCCACCATTTGTAAAGTGTTTGCCTGAGGTCACTCTGGTTTGTTGCTCCAACCTGCAAAATGTTAGAAAAATAAACCCAAATAGGTTTGATTTGTGAGCATGCATATAAACAGTGGTTTGTTGATTCTCCTTGTATGCGGCAGAAAGGACATTGTGAAGCTAACCGAATTTTCAAGCGTTTTAGGTTTTCTAGGGAATGAGAGGATGTGATTGTTGAGTTTCCACATGAAATTTTTTTGTTGAGAATGTTTTTGGCTTCCCATATGTGTTTTTGGCTGAAAGTGGTGTGTTTCCTTGATCTAAGTTTGTGGTAGGCTGAAGATAGGTAGAGGTTTTCATTCTGATTGTCTTTCCAAACCAGTTGACTGATATGCACTAATTAGTAGTGCATAAATGTATATTTTTATGTTTGATTTATGTGTATTGTTCACCATTTTATTAGTTTGTAAACATTTGTTTTATTTGGTTTGTAATTGTATTTTAGTTCTCATTTGTAAGTTGTAAAGTAGAGTTAGGATTTATGGTGTTGAAAAGGAGGACTTTGAAGTGAAGAAAAAGGAGATTGGACTATCCATAAGCTGAAACCCGACCGGGTATAACACTTGACCCGGTCGGGTAAGATTTAACAGATGAAGGTACCTGGAAATACACTGGACCCGGTCGTGTCCCCTATTCCACCCGGTCGGGTCTGACTTGACCCAGAACACCAGAACGTGCCGAAGATCACCAGAACGTGGAAGATCATCTAATTTTGACCGGACCCGGTCGGGTAGGCACTTGACCCGGTCGGGTACCCGGCCCAAGGTGTTGAAAAACACCTATAAATAGCACACTTTTTCTTCACAAATATTCATCCCTTCTTCCATACTCTTAAGCTCGGTTTAGAATAGCATTTCTTTATATTTTTCTAGCTATGTTTAGTCTCCAAATGGGGAGCTAAACTTCCATTCTTGGTGTTGCTCTTGAAGCTTGTTGATTATTAAAATTGTGAGTTATTTTCTTAACTTCTTTCCTTGAATATTAATTCTTCCTTTAAATACTATTTCTCTATCAATGTTGGAGAGTGTTACTAAGATGACAACTAGTAAACATCTTGACATTAGTTATAGTAATAGTTATTTCTTTCTCTATGTTAATATTGGGGAGTGTTACTAAGATGACAATTAGTTAACATCTTGATATTAACTATAGTAGTATTCTTCTTCTTTAATATTCTTCCTTGAGTATTAATTAATTCCTATTCATATTTCATATTAATATTTTGAACATTACTTAAAGGATCAACTAGTTTTGTTTCATATATTAATTATTACTAGAATCGATCGACGAATACGCTTATTAATCGTTGATGGTTACACAAGTAACTTCGGTTTATTAATGCACGGTTGTGGTTAATAAACTTAAGAGAGATTAATTTTGTTGGTTAAACTGAAACTGTTGTGTTGAGGTTATCAATCTCAATTGATTTCATCAAGGAATTAAGAGATCAAATGCTATTATCAAGTCGGTATATGGCGGTGTTCTATACTTGACTAATAGTAAGGGTTATTAATGAACTGTCGTTGTTAATAACTACCATCGATGAATTGGATTTACTCCTCGATTGAGTATTCGAGAGGGAATAAGTTATAGATATAACAATGATCCACTAAAATATATCAACAAGTGGAAAGTAGCAATGCGAAGTCCTTTTTATCTTTGAATTAAATCTCATGTAAGTCATTCATCTTAGTTTATTTAAATTAAATCATTCAACACCAAAACCCCCTTTTTATTTACTAAGTTCATAAAAAGAAAAGTATTCATTTCCCTGCGGATACGAACTCTACTTCACCTATACTACGTGTTAGTGCTAGTATTGAATTTATTTTGACGCACCGTGACAAAGTGCTCGTCAAATTTGGCGACGTTGCAGGGGAAAGGCAATTATTTTTCTTTTTCTTTTATCTCATAAAAATCAAAAACAAAAAATATATAAAAAAACTTACTCTTCTATTTTCTGAGCTTACATGAGTTATGAGTATATGGAGAGTCAAATTTCCTTCTTGACTTCTCTAATAAACGAATTTACCTTAAGCTCAAAAGCTCAAGATGCCAGGACATGCAACATTTGCATGTCTCACAGGCATCTTACGGATTTCTGCTTAAAGCTCCAAGATGAATACCTTGAACAAATTGATGATGTTGGTTGCGAAAGGGATGTACCTCACATGAGTTATGATCCGTTCTTCAACTCTAACATGTCTACGGAGGATATGGTCCGGGCTATTGCTACCAACAAAACCACCATGCAAAACAACATGGTGCAATTCCAAAATGAGACCAAGTCTAGCATTTTAAACTTGGAAACTCAAATGAGTCAAATAGTCGGAGCCGTGAGTAGGCTTGAAGCAAGGGATTTGGAAAAACTTCCCTCTCAAATAGAATGTGATCCTAAACAGCAAACTTTTGCAATCAGATTGAGAAATGAGAAGGAAATGCAAAAGGAGATCCAGAATCAAGAAGAAGTAGAGGAAGAAAAAGACACGGAGCTCCAACTGGTCAAAGAAGAGGCTAAGCTGAGCTTGAAATTCAAAGTTTTTTCCTTGTCATCCTTTGAGGTATCTCCATCATCTCTGGAAGCTTTAAGAGAAACTCATAAACTTGAAAAGGACAATGACATTTGTGAAATTTTCTTCAAAATTGACGGATCGAAAAACTTTTCATTGACCATACTAAGCGATAATTTCTTCCCTTTCCTCCCACCAATTGAATCAATGAAAATCTGGATATTTGATCCTGGAAAGATTTCCAAAGTAAAGAGTCGAGAAATTGAGCACTCCTATTGAAGTCCTAGGAGTGAAAGTGTGAAGAAGATAAACTATCATGATCCAAGTTTGAATGAATGAACAGAATGATAGCGTCGTGCCGCGACGTTAAATGAGGCGCTTGTTGGGAGGCAACCCATGCAAGGTACGTTTACTTGTATTTTTTTTTTTGCACATTGTTTTTTTAAAAAAATGGTGTCTGGGCTGCTACCCAGCCGGATATCTCAAAAACCCGGTCGGGTTCCCTCACAAAAACAAAATACCCGGGCAACACACCACCGGGTGAAAACGGAAAAACTAAAAAAAGAGCATAAGACCCGATCGGGTAACTCCAAAACCCGACCGGGTTTTTGCATATTTTTGGCTCTGGGATCCACTGAAATGCATACCCATTTGGGTATTACCGAAACCCGGGCGGGTACGCATTTAAATTTTTGAAATAGCTACACACCCGACCGGGTGACCCCCAATACCCGACCGGGTGAACCAATAAAAACGATAGCTACACACCCGACCGGGTGTACGGGATTTCTGCAGTTTTAAACCCCAGAAACACACTTCGACCATATCACTTTCATCCCCAACCTGAAACAAAAACCTCCTAAATAACTAAAAATCCAAATCCCCTTACTCCACAAACAACAAAATCTGAAATTTCCTCAACCAAAAAGAAACTAAATGACACCAAAAAGGGAAAAGGGATTCATTCTATTGGACATCTCGGACACAAGCACGAGGGACAGTGCTTTGATTAACTTGGGGGAGAATTTCATGGAAAACTCACATTCATACTCTATATTGTTGTATTGTTTTATTAAAGCTTGTTAAGTTGAAAATCTGAAAGGGCAACTTAAGAAAAAATAAAGCAAAAAAAAGAGTGAGTTGTGAGGATTAAAATAGAAAAATGTGGGAAGCTGGGATTAAAACCTGGAAGGGCACCTAGGCAAAATGAGAGAATGAGAGAAAGTATTTTCTTTTATTTCTGCAGGATCCTAAGGGTAACAAAAAAAAGTTGAGGTTGATAAGAAATATGGAGTTGAAGACCCCTCTTTTCTGTTATTTTTTGGGGATTGACCCTCCCTTGTTTCTGTTAGGTCATTAGCTGTTGAATTTGTTCTGCACAGCTGTTTCCATGTAGGGGAGTCTTTTGCTTTGAATATCATTTCCCCTCCGTATCTATTTTGCATGTATTCAGCCCATAAGGTGTTCCCTTCTTTGTATATCCACCAATTTTTTACCTGTAAGGCTGCTTGTATGTCATGTAATGATCTGATATTTAGTACCCCCTCTCCACCCGGGTAGCACAACTTCTCCCATTTGATCAAGTGATAACTGTTTTTGTTTTCCTTTGATCCCCAAAAGAAATTTGCCATTAGCATGTGAAGAATATGAATTATCTTGACTGGTATATTTGAGACCGCTAATAGGTGTAGAGGTATCGTTGTAAGCAGATGTTTGATTAGAATCAAACGCCCACTTTAATTTAACAATTTTTGTTTCCATTTTGCGAGGTTCCCCTCAAATTATTGGACGAGCTTGATCCAATGGCTTGGCCTGGTGGTCCCTTGGTGAAGAGTTGTCCCAAGGTATGGTATTGGTAGTGTTGTGGTTAGCATACCTGTTATTTTTTCCATTGCCTTTTTTTTAAAAGTTGGGAGATGCTTGCTGACAAGGACTTTGCTTTTTTCAAGGTTGACCGATTGACCAGTTCCATTGGAGTATCGTTTGAGAAGTTGCTTCAGGTGCTTGAGAGATGTTGTTGATCCGTTAAGAAATAGTATCAAGTCATCCGCATAGGCTAGGTTGTGTATGCTGGAGCACCCCCTCCCTATTTGATAATGTGTAATCTTGTGAGTTTGTATCAGTTTGTGTAAACCTCTTGTAAAACACTCAGATATAATGAGAAACAAGTACAGAGAAAGAGGGTCACCCTGTTTGACCCCCCTCTGTGACTTGAAGAAGCCATGGGGTCTACCGTTCACTAGGACTGAGATGTGGGTTGCCTCAAGGTTGCCCATAATCAAACTGATCGCCCGGGGGGAGATACCTATTTTATAAAGTTCCCTCTCAAGAAAGGTCCAAGAGACCCAGTCAAACGCTTGCATAAAGTCCAGTTTGACTGCAATGTTGCTGCCTCTTACCTTCTCATCAAGTAGATGAAGGAGTTCTCGGACAAGTAATAATTAAAAGAGCATTCATCATCTCTTTTAGTGTCCTATTTTTTCTTTCAGCTATTCCATTAGATTCGGGTGAATATGGTGCAGTTACCTCATGAGTTATCCCTTCTTTTTCACAAAAATCATTAAATACAATATATTCGCCCCTCTCTATCCGATCAAACTCTCTTAATCTTTTTATTTAATTGCTTTTCTACCTCGGATTTGTACACTCAAAATCATCTATAAAGGTGGCATATTATTTTTTATCACCTCTAGTCTGGTATTTTTTAAATCACCTAAATCTGTATGAATTAAACTAAGCAATTTTGATTCTCTAAATGTGGAGGGACAAGATTTTTTGGTTAATTTAGATTGAACACAAACATCACATTTTTAGTGGGGGGAAATAATTAAAATACCTCAAACTTTGAAGGAGTGTGAGACAAACACCCCAAACTTGCATATGTAATTTAAATACCCTAAACTTTATATAAAAAATTATTTTAGCACCATGGTCATGTATTATTTCTTACAAAAAATAAATTTTTGGTGTTTATTCCATAATTTGATAAATTTTAGCATTCATAAAGATACAATTAACACTCTAAGCTTCCATTGTAAAATAAATAGTATTACCCACCACTATATATAATTCTAATGTTTTCAATTTGCTATTTTAAATTATGCACTTAACACCATTAGTTTACATTTTTAAAAGAAATCATACATAACCATGGTGTTAAAATAACATTTTATATAAAGTTTGGGATATTTAAATTACATATGAAAGGTCGGGGTGTTTGTCTCACACCCCTTCAAAGTTTGGGGTATTTTAATTATTTTCTCTTTTTTAGTGTCATTTATTTTGACTAGAAATCAAACACCAATCATTTAGCAATTTGATATAAGAATTACTTACCCGCACGGGTAGCTCTGTTAGTCGAGTGGTGGGAGATTTGAATCAATAGACCAAGGTTCGAATCCCCGCAGCGACCGGGTGGAGGTCACAGAACCTGAAATAAGGCTGGACCTTTGATGCGCACGGGTGTATGGGCCTACTGCCATTCTGCTGACTGAGTCACCGTGACTAACCTCCCCACCATCCTGTCGTGTCGGGGTGGGGGGCTCCTGGGGTGGGAGATTCCACCTTTTGGATCAACATAAGAATTACTTGCATGTCCCAGTCTAGCATGTCACACATCATAAGAATTAATCAATGAAGCGGAAGCATCATCATGCAATAATTCAAAAAAACTAAGCACAAATAGTCCATTCTTACAATAACCATTTCCCACAAAAACATCATTATTGTCATAACAAATTTATCACAATCAAAAGAATCTTTAACTCCAACTTTTCTCAACAGAGAAATGGAAATTAAATTAGACCGAATCTTGAGCAAAGCACATCATTTAGTAATAAAGTTTTCCCCGATGTGAGCGTAAGAAGAACTTTCCGTTTACCATGTCCCTTTTCAAGTCCGCTAGGTACACGAGCTCTTCGTCATGTCCTATAGTAGTATAGGAGGTAATAGCTTTTTTGTTTTTACAAATATGCTTGGTAGCCCAAGAGCCTTCAGATTGTAAGTGGCGTGGCCGGATAAACATGCAAAACAACGTTAAAAATAATATAGCTCGAGACACATGAACGTTGTCCTCAAGAAAGTATTTTCGACTAGCGAAAACCTTTCCACAAGATATAATGAGCTCTTCGGCGTATGTCGGTAACAGAACAACGAGAAGGAAAAATATTAATCCAGTAAAATGTAAAAGTTTGGAGCAATTTGCTTTCTCTCTATTTTTTTTGATAAAGGGTAATTATATATTATCCAAAGAGTTTATGTACAAATACCTCAAAAAGGGGGAGCAAAAATGGGGCTATCCCAACGAGGGATATGCCATGACCTGTGGGCTATACAATCCTTCCCAAATCAGACAAAAAAAGCAAAGAGCCGCACCACACCTTACAAATCAAAACATAATAAGTTCGTTAGGGTAAATACTATAAAGTAACTTATACACTATGTATTGGATCCTAGCAAAAACTTCCTCCTCATGAGCTTTGACATCATCAAATCTGGTTTCATTCCGCACCCTCCATATCCAGTATATGGTTGTAAGGAATAAATGTAATTAGATTTTGATGATGCTATAGGATTTTAGAAATTACCCCTTAGAAAATTTGTATTAGAATTTTCCTTGTAATTGTTCTAGTATAGTCGACTGACAGAAGACCTCCAGACAGAAGCCCTTTTGGCCCTCTGGTGATAGTGCCTTCACAGAAGTCCTCCTGACTCTCTGTTGGACTTCACTAAGGCAGAAGCACTTAGGTCCTCTGTTGGCCTCTAACAGAACAGAAGGACTGGAGACCCTCTGCTGACTTCCGTTACAACAGAAGTGCTCATGACCTTCTCTGGTGTACACTCGATAAAGAGACCAGAAGGCCTGACACTTAGAGAAATTCAAGTTTACTTCCAAGCCGGCGAAATCAACGGAAGATTCTCCAACGGCTAGAAGACTTCAACGGAAAAGCTACAGTACGCGCATTCAATGCTCATTTAATGCGGATACGTACGAGAAGATATTTAAAGTAAATAATTGACCACCTTTTGGAAAGAATCTTCTCAAAATAGCAAGTCGCCGAATTCAGTGGGTCCAACCGGTCAAGTCAATAACACGCGCATTAAATGCAGTTGTCCTCCTTCACCTCCAACGGGAAGACAACCCTAAGTATAAAAGATACTCTTCGAAGAACAAAGGAACGAACTTAACTTTGCTAACTTTGCCAACTTCACCACATCCTTTGCGAGAAAAGCACATTCAAATTATTCAAGGAAAAAAGGTCCTCTTGAGATTCAAACTCTTCATCCTCAACAAGAGAGACACAAGTTGGAAAGAATATACCTTCATATCATCAAATCCAACAAGAGCAAGGTTCCAACAGTTCTTCAACAACTTCAAGCACTTCATCTACAAATCTTTTGTAACGAAGCAAGTTGGAGGAACCCCTGTTTCAACAGAAAGTCTTCTTGTTCCAAGAAGGACGTCCAAGTAACTGGAGTAGTGAAGTGGTGATACTTCCGGGAAGCTCAGTGAAAGGACCAGTCTTAAAGGAAGCCAGGCAGTGCATCCCAGGAGACATCTAGGCTTGAAGAAGACGTGGAGAGCTTCTTATGTGCTAGGACTAAGGCGCTGTAAACGGTCGTTTTTACAAGCTTAGTGGAACAGTGGATTAGAGGAACGAGTTGTTCCTTGAACCACTATAAAAATCACTGGTGTCATTTACTTACTATTTTAATATTTGCACTTAGATAGACCTGTCTAACTCCTTAGACTCGGTATCTGTGTTCAGCAGAACTTGTTCTACGAGTTAACAGAAGGCCTACTGCCTTTGCTTCTCTGAGGCTAAATCAACAGAACCCCTAACAGAACCTTATCCGCTGCCAGTCTGTTCTGACAACAGAACAGGCTATTCTGTAAAATCTGGTACTTAGTTTAAAAAGCTAAAAACCAATACAGTCTATTCACCCCCCCTCTAGACTGTATCCAGTACAACCGGGACCAACAATGGTGTAGATAAATGCAATACGGGCAGCTTTAGCTTTGACTCCGGCACCAGCATGGTCCTTCTTGATCCACTTCACCGAGCTATCCAGGGTAGTCATCTGCCTAGGCATCCCAATCCATGCTCTCACTTTGCTCCATACCTGACCTGTAAATTGACAACCAAAATATAGGTGTGCTACCGTTTCCGGTTCACCCTTACAAAGCGGACATATGTTAATCACCTCAAGCCTACTAAGGTTATCATAAGTTGCCAGGTGATTGCGGAAAGCAAGCCAAGCAATAAATGAAAACTTAGGAGGTATATAGGCTTTCCAAATGAAAGGCATCCACACCTGTGTAGTGCTCTTAATTATAATGAGGTCATAAATTTTGGAGGAGCACAATTTCCAATTGTTAACTAATTTGGTGAGGGCATCAATTGTGCTCCCAATAGAGTCAAACTTAGAAACAAGGAGGTCTCGGACCAGCCCAAACCTTTTCATAAGTTGGGAGTCCCTGGTGTGTGGGGAGAAATCCCACACACTTCTACCCTTAAGGTAGACCCCATGCACCCATTTTACCCACAAAGTATCACGCTTAAGATGAATATCCCACAAGGTCTTCGAAAGAAGAGCATTATTCCATGTTTTGGTATGCCTAATACCCAAGCCCCCCTCCTCTTTCGGAAGATACATATCAGCCCAAGCAACCCTAGAAAATTTGCATCCCCAAAAGAAAATACGACAAAGTATCATGTTTTGGATATATTTTTTTTTTATAAAAATATTTTTTTGTTTTTGATTTTTATGAGATACAAATAAAAAGAAAAGTAATTGCCTTTCCCCGGCAACGGCGCCAAATTTGATGTGCACTTTGTCACGGTGCGTCAAAATAATTTTCAATACTAACACTTATACGTAGTAGAGCGTAGTAGAGTTCGTATCCACAGGGAAAGGAATAATTCTCTTTTTATGAAACTTAGTAAATAAAGGGGGGTTTTGGTGATGGATGATTTAATTAAATTAGAAACTAAGATGAACGACTTATATGAGATTTAATTCAAAGATAAAAAGGAATTGGCATTGCTACTTTCCACTTGTTGATATATCTTAGTCGATCATTGTTATATCTATAACTTATTCCCTCTCGAATACTCAATCGGGGAGTATATCCACTTCATCGAGGGTAGTTATTAACAACAACCGTTCATTAATAACCCTTACTATTAATCAAATATAGAACAACGCCTTATACCGATTTAATAGTAGCATTTAATCTTTCTAACTCTTTGATGAAATCAATTGAGATTGATAACCTCAACACAACGGTTTCGGTTTAACCAACAAAATTAATCCCTCTTAAGTTTATTAACCACGACCGTGCATTAATAAACCGAAGTTACTTACTTGTGAAACCATCAACGATTAACCAACGGTTCGTGGATCGTTTCTAGAAATAATTAATATATGAAACAAAACTAGTTGATCCTTTAAGTAATGTTCAAAATATTAATATGTAATATGAGTAGGAATTAGTTA